AGCAACAAATATTTACATCAACTCGATGAGGAAGGTTGGGTGACGTCAAGACCCAGTAGGATGGGAAGAAGGAACGTGCGAGAGAGGGGGAATGACGGCACAGATGGAAGGTTGGCCGTGGCAGGTGGCGCGGGGCACGTGTTGGAGGGAGGGCTCCGACCTCTGGGACCGTGAAGCCCCTGCCCCTCCCACTACACACTCGGACTCCCTTTGTAGAGGGTAGAGGTGAGCTTTTTCCCTGACAGCTGCTGAGCTGCTGTCAAAGACCCCCGTCTTCCCACCTCTGGTCCTTGTCCTACCTTCCAACTGCCACTTGTGTTTCTATGACTCCTCAGAGCCACTCAAGAAAATGTGCTGTGGCCTCTTACAGACTTCCTCCCACCTCCTGCGCCTCTCCACCGATGAAACACGGGCCGTGCTGCCTCACTGGGACCAGAGTTTGTCCACACAGAAGATGTGACCTCATGGAGGATGCTGTGACAAGGAAACCTGTCACTACACAGGGCTTCAGTTCACCTCCCATCCCCCACTTTCCCCCCTTCTCTAGCCTTACCATATGTGGTGTCCCCAGAAAGTCACCCTATCCTCACCTCTCTGTGCCCCTGCACCTGTTTCCACCGCCTGGAATGCGTTACCTCCAACCCCCAGTTCTCTGCCTCATTCCCCTCCCTCCAAAGTCTGGTCAAGCAAGCATGCTTTCTCTTCGCAAGGCCTTCCTGACCACGCCCTCTCTGCTGCCCCCCTTTCGTGCCAGGTTCACCAGATCGCCAGCTGACATGTGTATCTCAGAGCATTCACCATGCATGCCGAACCCTGGCACTTGGGGAGAAGCCTGGGTCTCACCTGCGTGCCCTCATCACACAGTGCCACAGCTTCCCACTAGGGAAGGTCCCACACGACCGACCGTTGCTTAAGACACTGGGCAAGACAGACTGGGCTTGCCGGAGAGAGAAGAGTAGGGTGCTGGCAAGGACTGATCAAGTTCATCAGGACAAAATGGGTAGACTTTTAAGGATAGGCTGGCTTAATGTTGCAAACCTCTGGCTTAAAACAACAAAGGTTGGTTTCTCATCAGAGGTACATGTCCCATATGGGCCAGCAGGGGGCTCTGCTCATGACAGTCACTCAGGGGACCCAGAGGGAGCAGACACCAAGTCTAACAGAATCAGGGTCAGGGGGCAGGCGGTGGGGGTGGGGTTCTTGCATCAGCAATGAAAGGCTTCGGTTGGCCCCACCTCATCAGAGGATGCCAAGAGCAATTCTCCCACATGCCAGGCAGGCTGTGAATCCAGAACGGAGAGCCAGAGAGGGTCTTGGAACATTTCTCCTGGTTCTGCAGTGAACCAGCAGGGCAGGGCCTCCGGGGCAGGCCCGGCAGCAGTGCCTCTGGCTGCGGGGTTATCAGCAGGTGTATCTATCTGAGCACCCAGGCGGTTCTCAGCTGGGCTCCTGTTCTGGTGTCACTGTGCTAGGGGTGGGACTGCCAGAGGAAACCACCAGGTGTGGCCATGGGAAAGTCCCTGCAACATTCTATAGAAACATGGAATTTCCTGGTTTTAACCATTTCTTATCCAACTGCCATCTTGGAGTCGACCAGAACGTTGTAGACCTCTCCAGTCTCCTAGGAAATTTGATGGAGGGCATTGAATCTTGACTGGGACATTGACACACCTATGTTCCAGCCCCAGCAGTGTCTGAAGACCGTGGGCAAATTTGTAAAGGTGTGTGGGCTTCAATGCCTTCGAAGTTGGTAAAGCGCTTTCCAGTTTCCCTGGCATTTGTATACCTATTGTTCCGAGCGAGCAGTCGTCCACACAACCAATGGAGTAAATGTTACTAACCTTGAATGAAGAAACCGGGAAGGGATGTGGGCTGTGCTCGAGGTCACCCTGGAGGGCATAACATGGGTTCCAGTGTTTGCTCTTGGGCCTCTGCAGGCTCACTGGGAAGATGAGTCAGACCCGACTTCTGGAGTGGCTAGGCACAGGTCCTAGACCTCCCTGGGGCTCAGGGGTGTGGGGACTCTGTCTTCCCAGGCTAACTTGCCCAACCGGCTCCGTGGACTCTGGGCCGGGTCCTGGAGCTCCCTGCTCCCGCAAATGGCACATGCCCAGAGGGCACCCTGCGGCCACCACCACTGCCCGGCCTCAGTTTCAAGCCTCTCTGTGCCTCAGACTCCGGTCCCGCCACCTCCACTTGGGAGCTCAGAGCATCCTTTCCCCTTCCTGCCGGGGGTGGCTGCAGCCCAGCTGCCTCTGTCCCTTTAAGAGAGAGAAAGAACCAAATCAGGAAGTGTGAGAGAGCAGGGCCGGCTGGCTCGGAGCTGAGCAGTGTCCCCTTGCAGGGAGCTGGAGAGGACACTATCTGCCCCCCACCCACGCCCCCGCCCTCCCAGCTCCAGGGGTGGCGCAAGGCCCCCCACCCCCACAGCTGGCCCAGCCTCGGGGGTCCCCGGGGGGAACCGTGGCCACCAGGATGTTATGCGCACAGCCTGTGGATGACAGTGCGTGCTGAAAGTTCAGTGGGTGCCACGCTCTTCCACAAGCCTACAAACCACCACCGCAGCTGAGATGGGGTGAGTGTGCCGAGTCCGCAGGGGCCGCTGGACCGGGGCAGCCGCAGGGCAGCACTCAGTGGAGTGCAGGGGTGCTGCCACGTAGCCAGAGGCTCTCCCAGCCCTGTGGTGCCTCCCCGGGTCTCTCTGCCGCTTCTGGGGTCCCCCGGCAGTGCCCTGCATGCCCTCTCCGGCGGTCACCCTTGTAAAGGACTGCTTGGAGTCCAGAGCGAGAGGCAGGGAGGGCTGTGGCACGGGGGAGAGCTGCCACCTGCCTCCCCCGATCCCTTTCTGGGCTCTACGTCCCAACACCGGCCGCCCCTGTTCGGCTTCTGCCTCCATACTTTTCTCCTGCC